GATTCTAAAATTTGAACGCGCGCGCGCGCGCGCAGAGAGAGAGAGAGAGAGAGAGAGAGAGAGAGAGAGAGAGAGAGAGAGAGAGAGAGAGAGATCCTTTTGTCTGTAAAGTATGACACACAGGCTTGCTTCATCTGTGATAAAAACTGACCAGAAAGGATCAGGGAGTTTGGACTGACGAGTCCTAGGCAGATGTGCCGTAACCCAAATGCCCTGTCACGGAGGGGAGACTAGTGGGGATGAGTGGTGGGAAGAGACCAGAAAAGAGCTGGAGTCACATGTGCGGACATGTGCACCTGAATGAGAGAAGGCTGCATCCTGCCCTCCCCTTCCTGGGTTCCTGCGGGGCTCCACAGGGCTAGACACTGAAGCCATGACCTGGGAAGATGCTAGGGCCAGGTTGAGCCTAGCTGGGCAGGTACCCCGCCTTTCTCAGCCCTGGGCCCTATCCCAGGGCCTGCAGGGGCCCAGGCAGCAGTAGCTCTCCACCCAGCTTCTCCTCTGCTGGGCTGGGGTGGATTTCACCACTGCAGCATACAGGCCAGAGGGAGACTCAGGCTCAGGAGGGGGCTCTGTGAGGATCTGGGAAGACAGGCTCTGCTGATTCCTGATCCTCCGTAAACCGTAAACCGCCCAGAAAACACAAGACCTCACTTGAGCGTATGCAGTGATCAAATCCTTTCTTCCATCTCCCCACCCACCCCTATTCAGAATTCACTGGTCTCTTTCTTGTCATTGTGCTAAATGAACACAAGCTGAAATGATCACCACCGGCAAAGATCCCCTCAGCTAGGAGGAAACCAAGAGTTCCTGATGCTCAACTTCATCATTTTGCTGCTGATATTAAGAGCCGGAGGGACTTGGGCTGTCCAAGGTCACACAGTAAGGCAGTGGGGAGGCCATGGCTGTACTCTGCCACCCTACTACAAGGGCCTAAACGGGAGCTTCTCCATCATATCCTAAACAAGATCCTGACCTGCTATGGACGGCAGGGGTCTGGGGACAGAGGAGGCCGTAATGCGATAAGCTGACTGGCCATCTGGCTCTGGGACAGAAGAGAGCCCAGACTGGTCGCTTCTGCCGCCTGGTCCCAAGGGGCCCTGTGTCGCAAGAGACAGACTGCCAGATGGACAGGCAGTAGCCTAGGTCTGGGTAGAAGCCAATGCGTTCCTGGTAGTCCGCACTGACCAACTTTCCGCAGTAGGGCAGAAACATAGAGAGTAAGGCCGGGCTCCCCACAGGGCAAAGAACAGCAGGCCAGGGAAGCTGGGGTTTTCCCCACTCAGAGCCTGAGCCTGGCTCCCCAGGTAGGCCCAGCCCAGCCCTGCCAAGCTCAACTCCCCAGCCTCCAGCCCACTGGCCAGCCACAAACAGGGCCCCCTCCTGGGGGAGGAGGAAGGCAAACACATCTCCCCTGGCACCTTCTCAGACATGCATGCAAAACTAATTAACATGGGGAGACATGCGAGCAGCCGGCCAGCTCCACACCCTTGAGTCCATGCAGACAAGGCGAGCCCTTGTCCAGGGGACCTGCACAAAGCTTTGTTGCTAATTTAGGCATCTGTCTCTGTCTGGTCTGGTCCTCCTGCCTGCACTGGGGTTTTTCCCAGCCCCTCGGACAATGCTGGGAACAGGCCCGCAGATCCCTTATTCAAATCACACCCGGGACAATGAGCTCATTGTGCAGACCACAGAAAGGGGGATGCTGGGGGGTGGGAGTATGTAAGGGGCATCGGGGAGTGGAGAAGGGTGGGGGTGTGTGTGAAGAAAATAGGAAGCCAGTAAAGTGTTTACTAACATAGCCCCTGCAGCTGCCCAGGGCCCCTTGCCCCTCCCTTGCTTGGCTGGGAGCTGGGCGTCTTGGGCCTGAGAGGTGGGAGCCCCAGAGTGGATGGAGGGCCTTGTGTCTATGGGCCCAGCAGACAGATACAAACTCTGGCTGCAGCCTTCATCTTGGTGGCTTCCTCCTTCACCAATCTGCAGCTTTCCCTGCCTGCATGTTCAAGGGCGGACATCACTTTTTCATAGAATGGTGTGGGGTCCTTTTCTTCCTTACCTCAGCTTCAGCAGAGGGAAGGCAGAGGAGACCAGGCTGGGGAAGGAGGCCCTGGCGGCTGTGCAGGGTGGGACAGGCTGTCTCGGCCATTGTCTTCGGGCAACATTTCATTTTCTCCTCCTTCCCATCTAATAAATTAGAGAGTAGATGGTAAACTGTGAAGGGACAGGCTCCCCACGGACATGGAGGGCGGGAGGCAACTCTGTAAGCTCTTGGCAGATGGGCTCCCCCAGCCCAGGCCACTGCTCAGGCCATACCTGGCTAGACACTTGAATGCATCTCCATGCAATGAGCGAGATGAGAGAAAGCTCTCCATCTATCTATATATGCGCAAGTACATATCTACCAGCATCCTGATGTCCCTGAGGGGGAGAGCTGAGGCTTTGAAATGTCTTCCTTTTACCAACACCACCCCCAGCTCCCTGTTGCACTGAGCACGCCTAGACAGGCCGACATAAATAGACACACACAGCCTGACAACTGACACGAAGATACAAAAAGAAACACACACACCCAGAGGCGGCCACAGACACACCCTGACAAGGGTGTAATGAGTGCGGGACGGATGTGCATTCAGTCAGGAGCTCCGGCCATGGGGTGGCAGAAAGGTTATGGTGTATGGTGTGGCTGCAACAGCACTCCAGCACCCCCTTCCTCTACAGCAGCACCTCAGGCTCCTGCGACGGAGAAGTAAAATACAATTTCACCGTCCAGATGGAAGCGAAGGACTCCTGAGTCAGGAAAGTCTGTAACTGGTCCAGCCCTCAGTCAGGGCTGGCTAGGCTATCTCAGAGACTTTTCTGCTTTTATTAATGATGAAAGAAAGGATAGCCAAAGCCATTCTGTCTTTCCTTTCCTCTCGTTTGTTTTCTGAGGCAGGAGCTCATGTAGCCTGGCTGACCTTGAACTTCTGATCTTCCTGCCTCCGTCTCCCAAGTACCAGGGTTAACGGCATAAACCATCATCTGGGCTTCAAAAGTCATCTTGATTGTCCTTATCTCAAGACAACAAACAGATCCTGAAGTTGGAGCAAGTGGAGCTTTGCTGGCCTCGTTTTCCTTTCAGCATAATCTCAGGCTCCAGTTTCTTGCTGTTAAAATAATGCTGAAGGGGTGTTGTAGGATGAAGAGGAACATAAATAGTTGATATGTACCATCCCATGATGGAAATGTGTTAGCTTGAACCACATGAACAGTTAACAGTTGTTGATTTAACAATGAAGAAATTGTATATGGGTCAACCTAGCAAGCAACTGGCCCCACGAGAAGGGAACATTCCATTTGTTTATTTACTTAACTTTATTGTATTTTGAGACAGGGCCTCATTAGTTGTTCAAACGGACATTGAACTCCTGGCTCAAGCATTCTTCCTGCCTCAGCCTCCTGAGTAGCCAGAACCGGAAGTGTACGTCCCTCACTGGCTTCCCCATTTCAGTGTCTCCCTCAAACTAGGCTGCTTTGGTCCCAATGAAGGAAACATAGTGACAAGAGTGACCTGAGAGTGGATTCTACCCGGACCTTCCATCTACAGCCACAGTCCACACCGAGAAGGCGCCGCTGCTGGAGAGAGCTTTGAATGTCTATGCAGGGCCCATGGCCTGCGCTGGAAGAGAACCCATCTTCTTAGTCATCACCAAGCTGTCTCTTCTCTTCTTCTGACCCGGGAGCGTGTCCTGGAAGAGAGACAAAGGCCATGAGAGGGACAGCAGAACAGGAACGGAGACAGCTGTGCACCTCCTTCAGCACGAGAGTCTGTGAGGCCCTCTGCTCTGGAGGGAGCCTCCCTCAGCAGCCTCGTGACTGAGAGTGTGTGCCGTCAGCCGGCTCCCATATTTAAACCCTTGGCAAGTCTCGATGGATGTGACATTTATTCAGTAAACTTCCTCCAGGAAATCTAAGCAAAGGAAGCCAGAAGGGAGCCAAGGCCACCCAGCGCAGGGAAGACCCACTTGCGGCTAGACCCTGAACATCCCCTTGTTCAGCGTACAGGACTAAGAGTACATTCTCTCTTCCTGGGAAAGCATCCTCATGGACCTCTGGCTTTCCTAAATGAAAGAGTCAAGTGCTGCCGCCTCACCTGTCCACAGAAGAGCCTGTTTCAAGGTCACTCTTGCCTACCAGCAACAGCTGGACAGTACAGAAGGAGGCAGAGCACAGGACACATCCTCCTAGTCTTCTGGTGATTAAACCAAAGATTTAGAAAGAATATCCATGCAGCCGGAAGTGGCATGGGCCTCCTGTGCTTTGATAATCACCATACAATATCTAAGAGCTTGATCTTACACACACACACACACACACACATACACACACACACACACACACACACATCTACCAGAGTAGTAGTAATGAGAAGAAACCCATTTGTCTTTCCTGGTTTTGGAAGGCAAGGGACAGAAAAAGGCCACACAGTCAGGGTTGGGGGCTGGGTCACCCCGCTGTGTGGGGAGGTGGTGGTCAGATGCCCACTGCTGTCACTTCACATTCAGGCTAACCGCCCAGAGCTGCCCTCAGGGGCCGGGCCGAGGAGAGCCAGGTAGGATTCAGAACCTGGCGCTCCAGACAAGCTTCTGGTGTCTAAGGAGAAGAAAACATCTATCCATGAATTCCTCCAGGTATTGGCTTATTATTTCATTGCACTTAAGACGTTTCCTGCTGGTCTCACACATAAATCTCAAAGAGTTATTGATATTCTGATTCTTAAGATCGAAGTTGTTTTAAACGGAGAAAGGGAAACTACAGAACTGGTGGGGTGTAGAGAACTGAAGTCTGGCTGAAGCTAAGTGACAGCTGAGGGTCGCCATGGGCAAAGCATGAAATGGCCTCTGACTTTGTTCTTGTGGGTTCTTGAAGAGTGGAGAGGGCTGGGGGAGCAAGAAGCCATAGAACGATGGTAACTGTCACATCCCATGCCTGCCAACTCCGCACTCCCTCCCCTCAGCCTGACCTTCCTGTTGTGGATGGATATGTGAAGTTCCCTATCACAAGAGCTAAAGGGCCGGGCAGAGGACTGTGGTTTCCTCCTCTGTGTCCCCAAGGCCTTACTTAACACATAATGTGCAGTCAATAAATGTTGAATGAATAAATGATTGTGGTAGCAAAAATAACGTGGCATGGGAAGATATCCAATTTCTGAGCTCCACAATTTCCTTGCGAACTTGGAAAGAGCTCCCGGAGCTACTCGAGTCCAAGCCAAGTGCTACAAGGTGACAGGCCCAGAGTGGGCATGCCTGCTGAGCTCCAGCTGGCCTGGGTGGCACAGGGCCTGACAGCCTCCATCCTACCCATCTCGTACCCATGGCGACCAGGCCAGTTCCTTTAGCCGGCTCCCTGCCTGTTGTTCTCGGCTTCCAGCATCTGACCTGACGTTCCGTACCAAATCTCATGCCCTGTCCATCAGGACACTTCCAGCTTCTCTGAACCTCTGGCCAGAGAGTACTCTCCTCTGGCATGGATGCCCTGTCCTGCCCTCTTGGTGGCCTAAAAGACATGTTTGGCCACAGGAAGCCTTCTCTGGTACTTGTATCTCCAGACAAATTCCTCTTGTCTTAACTTCCTGGGCCCAAGTTAGATCATATACCCCTGTATGAGTGACTACTAAGGCTTTTCAAGCTGTTCTCTCTGATCCAGAGGTCGGGGAGCAGGTCAGGGTTCTCCCCACACTATGGAGTTTATGGACAATCAGGAAACACAAGGACAGAGAGCTAAGCTTGGTCCCTTGCTTGCTGTCTTCCAGAGATTTTATTCACGACAATGTGTGACACCACATCAAATGGGATGCATACTAATATTACACACACACACACAAACACACACACACTTCTCCCTCTTCCCCTCCTCCTCCTTTCTCTCCTTCTTTCTCAGACCCAGGGACTGAACTTGGGCCCTGGTGTTTTTGAGTGCTATTCCTAAATTCAGGGGTGAGAACAGTAGCTCACAAAGAGGAAAAGCAGCATGCTCGTGGTTTTTGAACTAGATCAGAAAGGCTCCAGAACCTGGCTCCTGTTGAGCCTGTGGCTTCTGCCTCACTGCTGTGCTCTGACAACGTAGGGGAGAATCTGCAGCAGCTGAGATGGGATGCAGAGGCTGGAGAGATGGCTTAGGGAGACTGCCAAGCCTAATGACCTGAGTCTGATCACCAGGCCCACACAGTAGAGAGAACTAGCTCATGCTGTCCTCTGATCTGCACACACACACACTGCAAATAAATATACACAAATGTTAATATGTATTTAAATGCGATGGGATACAAGAAGTTGCAGGCTCATAAGGATGGGAACTAGAGACCCCCTCCTTCTCTTTACCCTCCCAAGGCACTTGATAAGGAAATGACACTCTCAGAGGTGATGGCCATTCTCCTAACCAGCAGGTGTCTATGCTACCAAACTGGCAGACAGAAGGAAGCCTTGGCATTCTTTGTTTAAGGAAACAAGACTGGGGGCTGGAGAGATGGCTTAGCAGTTAGGAGTGCTTCCGGCTCTTCCGAAGGACCAAGTCTGGATTTGCACACTCTTGTTAGGCAGCTTACAACATCTGTAATTCCATTTCCAGGGGACCTGAAGCCCTCTTCTTGGCTTTGCAGGTATCTGCACACACATGCTACACACACACACACACACACACACACACACACACACACACACACACACATCAGAACACACACACCCCTTAGAAAACAAGACTGGACAGAGGACACAGATACCATCCCTTCCCCGTATGACTGCGTACCACTTCTGGAAGCAGAAAGCAAAACCCACATTCACTCTGAGCAGCCAGCCCCTTGCAATTGTGGGAGTTGGTGGAGTTGGGTCACTCTGATTTTATTTTATTTTACTATTTATTTATTTATTTATTTATTTATTTATTTATTTATTTATTTATTTATTTATTTATGAATGACAGGGTTTCTCTGTGTAGCCCTTTGCTGCCCTAATCTATCTATCTATCTGTCTATCTGTCTGTCTGCCTGTCTATCTATCTATCTATCTATCTATCTATCTATCTATCTATCTATCTATCTATCTATCTATCTATCTATCTATCTATGGGAGGGCTTCTCTGTCTATCTATCTATCTATCTATCTATCTATCTATCTATCTATCTATCTATCTATCTATCTATCTATCTATCTATCTATCTATCTATCTATCTATGGGAGGGCTTCTCTGTGTAGCCCTGGCTGTCCTGGAACCACCCTGATTTTTATAAACTGAAGCACAGCAAGGCTTGGCTGACAGACAATATCAAGACAAGCCAGGACCAGTGAGATGTTTCCCACCTCTCTAATTCCTTTTGGGGTTCCCAGGAGCCTGGCACTGAGCTCTCTCCATCTGGATTACTCGGCTATGTTGCCTACCTGAAGTAGGAGATGCTGCAGAGACATCTAGCAGCCCAAATAACCCCATGCTGCCTCCCAAGACTCAGCTGATTCCTTGGGAGACAAGGGCCCTGTGACAACTGAACCCTAAGACTACAGCTTCTGAGCCATACCTTGTGCAACCCCTGTGCGATATTTGGCTAAGAAGAGAAGGGTGGAGCCTGGATTATATTTACTTTTCTGAGCCAGGCCTCAAAGACCCAGTGTGCAAAGATCAGCACAGAACCTAGCACAGTGTGTGTGCCCGGTAAATGCTTTGTGCCACCGTCACTATAACCATTAGGGTTTCCATTTCTCATCTCCCAAGCTCCCACTTTTCAGACACTCCCAGAGTATGGAGGCTGGAAGGCCCTTCGCCCAGAGCAGGGTTTCCCCAGGAAGAAACTGACAATTACGAAGGGGCCAGGGCTGCTGGCGAGGCTGGCCCACAGCCTGGGGTCTTCCAAGGTGAGAAGGCTGAGCAGGTCTCTACCCTCTGACAGCAAGATGAGCCCAGCACCTCCCTGGGAAAAAAAAAAGAAATCTCTCTGGAGACCAGAGGCCTGGCAGGGAGCCAAAGCAGGAGCCTCTCCAAGAAAATGCTGGCTTTGAGCCAAGGAGCATCCCAGAAGCTCCAGCTTGCTAGTCGGGGAGGCTGAGGGGAGGAGGGGCAGCCAGGAGATGGGCAGCCCCAGCCAGGTTCCAAGCAAAGGAACCCGGCCAAAAGGGAGTTTGATGTGAACCTGGGACACACAGCTGTCTTCCCTTGTTTAGTGGCTCCTCTGTATCTGGGAGAGTATGAAGTCACCAGTGGGGGGTGGGTCCCACTTTGGGAACAATGATCCTATCAGCTCCAGCTCTGCCCACACAAACCCACTAGGGTACTGCTGACCTAAGTTTTTAATCTAAAGATTCTTTCTTACTCTTACCCTAAATGCTGAAAACACCATGTTGCCCGTAGATTCAGGACTGAGAGGTAATCTCCACCTAATGGGCTCTTCTAGGCTGTCCTAAAAGCCCCCTCAGGCCCAAGACGCCACCTGGTTTTTCCACTGCACTCTATGCATAGACCTCTGTGATTCTGATCTCCTGGGTGAGATCAGAACAATCAGTCCAAGTGTCGGGTCTGTAAAAGGGCTCCACCCTCTGGTTTAGACCAGCCATTTCCAGCAGAAATGTAAGGGGGGAGTTTCCTGTATAATCTTAAATGTTCTAGAAGCCTCATTCCAAAGACAGGAGAAACAGGTCATTTTAATTATATATTTTATTTAGATCATTACTTAAATGTGCCATGCTGCCCACATATATGAGATCAACCATTCCTGTCTATTGAGTATCACACCGGACAGAACAATACAGCTCTTGACTCCAGCAGCAGGTCACCATTTTCAGATGAGGATACAGCCAACGTCTCTATGGAGTGGGCACCACAGTAGAAGGCAGAGCCCCAGACTCCATCCTTACAGCTGGGCCTCCCACCAGCCTTCCCTTCCAGCTCCCAGATGCATAACCATGGGCTATTAGGGAGAGGACTGTATGCTCAGTCAAGTTCAGGAGGACTGCAACCTAAACCTAACGAAATAGACAACTCCGAGAGGACGAGAAACGGACACATCTGATGTCACAAGGCTGGGGAACAAAGACAGCTGAAGGGAACTGGAGGGAGGCTCTGGAAGACCTCTGTGTCAGCCCCAAGTCTCGCTGAGGCCCTCTGTTTGTGCCATCCTGCTCAGGGCCACCTGGCTCCCATGGCGCATCAGTACCCATGCTCCAGCACAGGGTCTGGTGAATTTTCCACCACGTCTCCCTGGAAGAACTACCCACAAAAGCTCCTCTCTGCTTTAGAAGGCGAGAACAAGTCGTGCATTTACCCACTGCCTCTAGTCTTCTTCCTCGGAGTCGCCATGCCAACACACAGTCATAATTACCAAGGAACGCGTCAATAGTGGCAGCATTGACAAAGACACTATATCAGGGCTTGTGAGCTAAGCAAGGTCAGGCTCTTCACAGCTCCCCAGCTTCCTGCCCACTTCCTTTATTCTCCTCAGATCCATCGCTCTCCTTCATTCTTTCTCTCCCACCCAGATGGTCTGATTTTATTTTCTCTGCAGAGAAAGGAACTACAGCTCAGTGTATAAAACACTTTTATAGCAATTAGGAGACAGGTTCTCCTTTGAGTTCTGATTTTAACTTGTGGGAAAAAGTCACTTTAACATCCAGGCCTCAGGGGTTTGGTTTTTTTTGTTTTGTTTTTTGGGGTTTTTTTTCTGTGAATAGGGAGAATGTTTCTGGACACTGTCTATTCAACAAGGGGGTGCCTGCATTTAATTTGCCTTCTAAATTCAGAGGCTGAGTAAGTGTTATGTAGTCATCTCTGAAATCGTCTTTATGATCAACAACAGAGGTACCAGAAGCTCAAGGAAACAAAAGGAGGTTCAGATCAGAGAGGGAGTTAGTTCTAATGCCTGGGAACAGCAGGGCTTGTATCTCCCCCCAGGAAGAGCGAAAATCTCAGAAAAGGAGCCAGGAACAGCTGAATGGTGGCCTCTATCAGATTATGAAAAGATGAGTGGGACGGATGAGAACGATCAGGCTAAATGACAAGCATCCTGAGGCCCCCAGTGAGAAGCAGGACATGCACCCATTTAAAATGAGAGGTCAGAAAAAGAAGGCAGCCAGCCATCACTGGAGCCCTACACAAGAGCGCCCCGATTTCAGAACACCCAGTGCACCAACATCTGAACTTACAAAGGAGATAAATTGGAGGCTGATGATTAGCATCACAAAATGATTATTCCCTTTGTAAAAGGCTTCACTGCAGGACTGCTTTAAATAGTGCATTTAAACCATGATCTGATTTGCTAAATTCGATTTATACACATCTACTGCCTAAGCTGGCGTGCGGCTGTATTTACATGTCTTCCCTTGGCACAGAGGAGGGGAGAAGCTAGCCATTATTTGGGGCCTTTAATCCTTGTAGACAGTAACTAATCTGGGGAGCTGAACCCTGTTTTTCTTCTGCAGCTGGGGCTTTAGCAGCACACTAGCCCCAGTTCTGCTGTGGTGCCCGTGGAGACCCCGCTGGAGGACAAGTTAGGACTAGGCCAGGTCTGTTGGAGCCTTTCTGGAAATGGGGGCTCCCTACCGAGAAGCATACCCTCCCCACATTCAGGAGTAACACTCTTTTGGTACAGATTTCTGGGTTACTGGACTATTTTGTTCCTACAGTCATCAAGCCAAGGATTCAAATCCCACCTTTTGGGGGCCACTGGCATTTCCTGACCTGAGTCACAGCTCTATCAGTGAGTGTACTTAAGTCACGGGAACCAAACCCATGAAGGCATGGGAAAGCTGGCTCTCCACTAAAGAAGACAAAAGATCTCCTGGCACAGCACAGGAGGACGGAACAGGGACGGGACACACACACACACACACACACACACACACACACACACACACACACACACACACCTTCCTTGCTTCACCTAAAGGGATTTGTAGGCTTCCCTGACAAGGCCCTCTGAAAGACAAATGACCCTTGCTAGTGGGGTCCAGTACATGTGGTAGTGCAGCTAGGAATCAGGCCATGGAAAAGCCACTCGCCAGCTCACACTGTTTGCTGGGGTGGCGGTGGGGTTATATTACTAAGTGCAGGAATTCTACACTGAAAAAATAAAGTGCCCCCCCCCCCACCCCCAGTCAGTGGTTCCACCCTACCCTCAACTCAGCACTAGGCTTGGCTTTAGGTCTTGTTTACCACATGTCTACAGATCCCCACAATGGTAAGTCCAGCTTAGTACCCAGAACCTGGGCAAAGAATGGAACAGCACCCAGGTCAGAAGAATTTATAGTGAGGATAGAGGTTATCAGGCCACCAGTAAATCATCTCCCTGTTGAGAAGTCCACCGAAGCCCAGCTTCTGAAGAATGGGCCGTCAGGATCCCTGATCCTAGTCTTTGTTACACTAACTTAGTGGCCTCAAGGAAAATCCAGTCTTGGGGGTTCACGTCCCCATCTGTGACGACATATGCACTCAACCTACATAATCACTAAGTTTTATTAATTTTTTTTTCTGGTGCTGGGTATTGAACCACTAGGCAAGAGCTCTACCACTGAGCCACATCCCCAACCCATCAATGTTGTATAAACCATAGATCAGAAAAATGTTTATCTCTGACAAGTCCTAATGAGCTTCCTTTTTGAGCAGGGTTATAGAGTCCTCATGCTTTGTCTTGGCTGCCAGGAAGCTCAGAACAGCCACAGCAGCCAATCATAAATACTATTTTAGGCCAGGGCTTAAGGGTGGACGTTGGGGAGTGACATGAGAGCCCTCAGATGTGAGGCAGGGCTGAGTGAGGAGACTTGGGTTCATAGCGGCTTGATAATGGTTATTGCAGAGGAGAACAGACAAGATAAACCTTTGTGTTTATGTGTATGTGTGTGCACTTGCAGAGACTCAAATTGAGAACCAAGGCCTCAGGCCTAACTCTTCCTTTGGCAAAAGTCACTTAAGGGACTCCTCACCCTCCCTATCTAGGAAGGTCCGAGGTCACATGAAGCACTCAGGCCTGGCACAAGGCAGAATTCATTGAACATAAATTGGTAACTGAAGTTTCTTGGTGGGTGACTGTACACAACACACATGAACAGGGCCTGCTTTAGGGCATCCATGGCTAAGGGAAGCAGACCGACTAATGATTGATGGACGGGGGCGCTGGAGAAAGAAAAGCAGATGTGACTCTTGGGCCGAGGTCTGGAGAGGGCAAGCCCAAAGATGCTGCTGTCCCCATGGCTCTCCTCCTGCCCACCTTCATCCTCCAAGTGACTCAGCCCAGCCTAGGCAGTGAGAATGGGGCCTCTCTAGGTCACCCTCAACCCCAACCACACAGACTTTCACAGGTCTCACACTGGGGTTCTCTGGACTCCCTTCACCTTAGGGTCACACCAGCCAGGGTCTGGGATAATGCAGACGGGCGGCTCACCACCTCCTGCACCACAGTTTCAAGGAAATGCGGGCGCTGGCCGCACAGGCGCAGGTGAGCACTGCAGGGAAGCAACTCTCCAAGAGCTTGCGGGTCCAAACTACAAAAACAAATAAACAACAACGATAACAAAACCCCACTGTGCTGGGTCAGCGGGGCCTGCACCTCAGCTTGGTGGAGAAGGCCCTTCCGCCAGCGTCCCTGCAAGGGGCCCTGGAGCACCCTGCTTTCTCCTTTGCACCCCGAGCAAGGTCACTGCGGCCTTGGGGCCAGGGTCCCCGGGCGAGCGAGCGTACGACGGAGGATGGTCCGGGCAAGGGGTGGAGGATGGAGGGGGGGGTGACTCAGAGATGACTCTGACGAGTGCTCGGCGGCGTCGGCCGCCCCGCAGGCAGCTTCCAGGACTCCCGGGCCCGGTGCCCTCTCTCTGAGCTCACGGCTTCCGAGCTCGGCGGACCCCGCGGCGCGGCGACCCTACCTCGTGCCCACGCAGCCATCTTGCCGCCGCTCGCTCGCTCTCAAAATGGCCTCCCGGGCCCGCGGCGCGCCCCGCCGGAGCAGCCTTGGCGCGGGGCCGAGGGGGCGCACGCGCCCGGCCCTCCGGGTCTCCGCTCAGCTCCCCCACCCCACCCCGGCGTGCGCGGGCCGCGCTCAGGGCTCTTCCCCGTCCCGCTTTGGCCGCGGGCGGGCGAGAGGGCGGGCGCCCGGCTCTTCCGTAGGCCCCGGGGCGAGCGCGAGGTGTGAGGCCGGCCAGGGAGTGTCTGTCGGGGGGCCAGAGGGAGCGCACAAGACCAAGCCCTAGGCCTGGCGCCCCCCCGCCCCATTGGGGCGAGCCTGACCCCCCGGGGCAGATGAGAAGCGGCCGCGCCTTTTAGCAGCCGAGGTTCCTCCGGCACTGGCCGGACGTGTGCAAAGAGCCCCCTCGGAGGCCAGAACCATTGCAGCTCCCCCGGTGCGCTCAGCCTGCCAGCCGCTCCTGCAACCAGCAGCTCAGCGGGGAGAGCGGTCCAAAGCACAAGCCAGCAGGTGTATTTTCAAAGCCATCGCACACTTGGGATGTGCACACAAACGGGGTCGTGGTGGAGGTGGTGGAGGTGGAGGTGGAGGTGGAGGTGGAGGTGGAGGTGGAGGTGGAGGTGGAGGTGGAGGTGGTGGTGGTGGTGGTGGTGACTTGGTGACTTTGGACTCTGGCCTAGAGAGGGAAGGGGGGTCGCCCGCCCTCCAGGGGACTCAGGTAGAAACACAGCCGCCTTACCAACGGGATCCTGGGATCTTCCAACGCTCCTGGTCGCCCGACCCGTTTTGGAGACACCCCGCGTCCTCCTTCCCTGGCTGTGGCCACTCACCTCTCCCGTGGCGGTGGCACGCCCTCCTTCGTTGCGGGGGAGAGCGAATAGGTGCCAGCCAAGGAGACGCAGAGCCCAGGTAGGAAGTGCAGGAAGCTGGAGGACCTGCCGTGGAGCAACTGTAACACAGAGAGGAGACGTCGGGCGCCTGCCACGGACCCCTAGAAGTGTGTCCCGGTCAAGCCTCGGGGTACTGTGGCACTGGCTTGGAGGTGTGTGTGTGTGTGTGGGGGACACACAGGCGTCCTCCGAGTCACGACCACAGCCTGAGGAAAATGTTGGATGCTCTGATCCCCACCACATCCAGCCAGAATGTGGGAGACATCGGGTTGGGTGTCGGCTATGGAAGGGAGCAGGTTCTGCCTAGGACCCAAGGTTGTCTCTGCGGAAGTCCCTCGGGAATGGAAGTCCAGGTGTCTGTCGGAAGACCTGGATGCGTGTTCCTGACCTAAACAGAAAGCCTGAGTTCGACCCAACCGAGGCACGAACGTGGCTTTGCCCAATGTCATATAAGTAATGAGACTTCGACCCCGGGAGGTTTTCCCGGAAGAGCCAGCTCCATACACAGAGCTAACACCGGCCTCCTGGAGGTGCCGTCTTGGCCTCCAGCCCTAGCCTTCTTTACTAGGGTAGCCGGTGAGGGTCTGCTGACTTCAAATGTCTCAAGACAGTTCCATGTCCCCCTAGTTAGTCATCCAAGCTCAGACTTATAGCTGTCTCTCCCTGATCTCCCATGGAGTGCTCTTTGAGGCCCTTGGGACCTAGCAGATCTGGTACTAGCTGGGGGAGGTAGGTAGCCTGTGGGCCCTTTGGTGACATTTTCCATCTATTGGGGCTGTCATTATGTCTTCAGCTGGGGGAAGTTTTGAATTTCAGACCCAGATATGTGTGCACCCCCTGCCAGACTACTGCCCACTATGTGCCAGGCGTTTTATTTACATGTTTTATGTAAATCTCACGTGACCCCTGTAGGTACAGGTACGATTGTCCCCATTTCACCCAGAGAGGTGAAGGCCACACCTCACGGATAGCCTGAGTTGGAGAAAGGAAAGGGTAAAATCTGTGAAAGAACGCTGCCTCACAGTAGAGCACTCCCAGTTCCCAGCTGCTCAGCCTCTCAAAAAATTTAGAATGGGAGTTTTTTAAACCTGGTGATCCTGAATCCTGAACTCTAGAACTTCAAGTGAGGAATTATCACCTTCAGGGGCAAAAAAAAAAGTCACATAAGCCGGCCAGTCCTACCTCCCCATGAGCTAGGGATCTCCGCAGCCTTTCCAGGCGCCACCCTTCTTTAGTGTAGGTCCAAAATCTTGTGGAAACCTGGAGAAGCCCCACAATGGCCAACAATCCACTCACAAGGGACAGCAGTATTGTTATCAGGATAACCCAACCAGAATAATATGAGATACATTGATATAAGGGCTTGATATTTTTGCACACACCCTGAGGGGATAGAGGAGCTAAAAATAAAAGAACAGTCATAGAAATGCTCCTCTCTTTTCCCTTCACATTTAGGTAAGAAGCTTTCCCATTCTGAGAGCTGCTTTTTCTTTAAATGGCAAGACACGGTCCCCCCCCCCCCACTTCCCCATGAAACGTTTATAAGAGGGAAAAATTACATCAACCAGGCCTGAGTTGAAATAAATACATTTTAAAAGTTTTTTTAAAATAGTCTTTTTCAGACGAAGGGTAAGGCACATGGCTCTTAGCCTAGGCTGTGTGAGGCAGCAAAGATTGGGCCGCTGTAGGGTGAGGTGAGATGGGTGGGGACTAGATAGAGAGACATCCAGAATGGGCGTAATAGCAAAGGACAAGAGACTGGAGCCAGAAATCCTTTACCCAACAACCCCAGACAGATGCTCTAACACTGACCTACCCTGGAGGGTGGCCATGGTTCCCAAACTTCCATCCAACTTGCCTGGAGATCCAACTATATCCTAACAAGGTCTGAGAAACACCACCCTGTACGTTTCTAAAACACACAAAGACTAGGGATTTGACCTAAGCCAGCGAGAAGCAGTTCTGCTCACGGTACCCCTAATTCATGGGGGTAACAGAATTAGGCTGCAAGCTGGGGTGGGGGTGGTGAGGCTGACCAGTGAGGGGTTCCAATGCCTGCACAGATGGAAGCCGAAGAGTTCTAATTAGCACAAAGCCTGCACCTTCCATTAATAGCTCACCACCAGCCCCTGGATGCCGCTGGAGGCAGTCAAGTTGGAATGTGTGAGGCTCACCTGTCCCCAGCTCATTAACAGACCTAGGGTGAGAAGAGGGCTCTCCTGCGGAAGGACCAGCCCAAACCAGCCCCCACCCCCATCTAATTACAGGTTTGACTTCTAGGTCCATCTGAGGGGAAGAATGCTTGACCCAAGTCCCATATTCCTGGGCACATGTTCAGCCAGGCCTCCAAGGACAGTGAGCTCCCTCCAGACTTGAAATAAATTCCTTCTTTAAAAGTGCCGGCATACATTCCATTTATATGAAACCCTAAATAGGTAAAACTGACAGAGACCTCAAGGGGTGTGGGAGCAGGCAGACTGGGAAGAAGCAAGAGAGAAGTTTCTGGAAGGGGGGAACTGCTGTCTTGGGTGCAAATGCATTTGTCAGAATTCATAGAACTGTACACCTATAATCTATTTCCAGATGAAAATCATGCCTCTCGGAATACGTGTGTGTGCCTCACATATCCACCCAAAGGTGTCGGCCTCTAACTGATCTCTCCAGAGCTTCTGGTTGATGTGCAGGTTCACACCCTTTCTCAGGGGTCACAGTGGAGAAAGGGGCCAGAGCAGATGGGGAAACAGGACTGTGCACATCTCACAAGCACGAGGCCTTGGCTGGCCGAGTGGGGAGGAGGAATGTCTGAATTGAATCAATTAGCTGCAGAAAACTTCAGAAAAGAAGTAAGGCCCTTCATAAAAACAAAGCCCACTCCTTAATCCCCAAAGGCAATCCTCTCCCCCATTCCCATGGCCATTCCTCAGTAAACAAAGAAATCCCCCCTTCCACATCCACACCTCAATATTCATTATGAGCTGATGTCTGAGGCTGCATTCCAGCCTCCCAGAGTGCCCTAATGACTGGAAACCCAGGGCAGATGACTGAGGGGTTTTCCTCTCCTCTCTCTCCACAGCTCTGCCCTTCCCATGGCAGTCTGTTCTTTCTTTCCTCCTTCTCTTTCTTCTTTTCTTCAAATTAGTGAATAAGCAAAAAACCCCTAGCAAGCAAATCAAAGCAAAGACATCACTAACTCTACTTTGTTCATTTATTTTGACAAGTGCAGTTTAATTTTAATTATTTATGATAATACTTCATAGTAGACGAGTAAATGTGCCGGGGTATATTTGGTAACATTAATGAAGTCTGCCTAATAGGGACCTTCACTCCAGCACCCTGCCTGAAGAGCTCCCTGCTGGAGGAGCAAGCAAGCCCACTGGTCTGTAGTAGGGTTTGCAATTTTTTTTGTGTGTGTGGGGGGGGGGGGGAGAGGAGAACTTAATGGGTTTGAGGATTAGCCAAGGGAAAATTAACCCGATTCTAGAGAAGAGGCAAATAGTAAGCCCATAATCATGTGTCGATGTGGACTGTGTGTATTTAAACACCAAGAACGCACACTTGGTGATAAGAAGGCCCAGGCGTGCACACATGCCACATGCATATTTACACACGAATCTCCAATGTGCAAATCAACAGAGGCCCGGAGAAATTAGGCTCTGGGCAATTAAAAATAGAAATAAAAATAGAAAATGGAATACATAGAGTTCTCTATCTCTCCCAAGTACCTTTTTCCTATTTATCATATGCTTCAGATGGGCAAACACCGGGCAAAATTTGGAAGCCTGGGGGAGGCAGTTTCTTCAGCTCGTGATCACATTGGAATGTTCCATTCAAGACACAATAGAGATAATACACAGGTCTTTGTGGATGCAATGTCACTTTACATAGGGCTGGACTAGGGATGTAGCTCTGTGGTGGAGCACTTGCCTGGCATCCATAGCATTAAAATATCCAGTAAAGCTGACTCTTATAGCACATTCCCATGACTGTTAATATAAGTGTAGTACTCTACATGTCAACAAAATATATACATATGCACACTTAAGAATGGGTATATTAGATACCATTTGGTGCAAATACATAGGTATCTGAGACATTTTGAGATACACACTGTAAAGCATTTACAATAAAACTTTGTGCAGTCATAATAGATTTTAGGCATATTACAATTAATGCTTGGTTTTTGAGACTGTAAAGAAACCTTTGGATCTCCATTTTGTTTTTCAAGTACTGAGGATTTCCTGTTACTTCTGACGTGTCTGCTAATGCTCAGGGTAGTTTAGAGACTTATCAAGGGATAGATGGGTTTTCTTGAGGCCCACAGTAGTACAGTCTCAGGACAAAGCCCAAGTTTGGTCTAGCCCTTGGGACAAGAACTATTAACTCCACCATTTTTGTTTTGTTTTGTTTTCTGAATGATCCCAGCAGGGAAAGTGGGACCTCTTCACCAGGAGGGCTAGCCAAAGGGCGAGAGGTGGGAAACTGTTTTCTTGGCATAGCCCAGGTGTGCAGGGTGACTGTCTCCAGGACCTGCTTGTCCCTAAACACAGGTGTTCCCGGGGTCCCTCACAATCCCCCTACTCTTCAAACAGAGGGGTGTTTTGGACAGTACAAGAGGATCAGCCCTAGGCACCTGGCTCCAAGACTTCTCCCCTGGCCCCAATCTCTTCCAACCTTTCTCCGTAATGCTGTGACCTGGCTCTGGCGTGGGAAAGGCGGTTTGGAGCTTTTCACAAATCCAGTATCCCCTTGAACCAAAACCAATTAGCCTGGCCCAAGGTCCTGTCATTGAGGCCCTGGTCCTCTTTTCATACCCCTGCAGCTCAATTGCGGTGAGGGGCTGGCCAGTGAATGCCGGGACCACTTAAAGCGGTGCTTAAGCCGGACCAGGAGGGAAGGAAGGAGCCAGCGCTACAGGAGCCTCGGCCGCCCATTCTCAGAGCCACTGACCAAGGTTTTGTTCCAGTCACAGCCCCCACCCTGGCTCTACTTTTAACGACCCTCCCTTCTCTCCACTTTCCAGCTGTCTGGAGGAGAAATCAAAAGCTAACTCTAGGAATCCGTGAGACACCCAAATGTGGCTACCCTGGATAGAAAGGGCATCACAGCGTTGGAGTCTGAACCCGACAGGTCTTGTTAACCACGATAAAGCACCTACTATATATAAAGCACCTACTGTATACGTGTTTTCCTTGACTGCACCCGAGCAAACAACCTATCTTCTGGATGAGAAAAACTGACTTGCCTGAAATCACAGGACTTAACCTGAGGTCAGTTTGGAAAAAGCTTTTGGGAACTCCCGAAGGCTACTCTCTTAGGAAGAGGGAGAGGGACCTCCGAACCAAGATGAGAAAGATCACGGAGAGCTCATCCTCAGTGGACGGAAAACTGATTTAAAAAATAAAAAAAGCAGGGACAAGCCCAGATAGCTACCAAGATGGGGTCCACATTGTCCACATCTACATATGGACATACGGAGTGAGTGTGAGGATAAAGTGCCCCAGCCTTCCTTTAGTCCCCTGCCTCTCGCTTGTCCCCCAACTTCCCTTTACACCCTTCCAGGTGGGATGAAGACTCACCCTCTGTGTAGGGTAGCACTACTAGGGGGTTCTGGCTGTCGCCATGGTAACGCGCATCCCACCCTAGGCCAGAGCTGATTGGTCATTTAAGCCAGGGTGGAGGAAGGTAGGGTAGGCTCCAGTCTGGGTGAAATAGGGGACAGGGACACCCCACCCCACGCGTGTGAGAAGCCAAGGGTGGAAGAGAAGGCGATTAAAATGGCGCCGCAGCCTCCGAAGGGCCGCTGCTCTGGGTGCGGACACCCGGGTGGGAGAACGCTCGCTCGGGTGGGAGAACGCTCGGCGGCCGGCAGCGTTGCTTCTCCGGGGCCCTGGAGGGTGCATCAGTCCGGGCAAGGCTGTCGTCCTGGGGATCCTGGCCGAGCGCTCCCCGCCCAGCTCCCTCGGCAGGCCGGTCTGCACGGTCTGGCCGGCCAGGCGCTGTCCGTGGCTTAGCGGGATCCGCGGACCCCGGGGCGCGGGGCTGCGCGTTGGGGGCGAGGGCGGGGCGGGCGGCGGCCTCGCCTCTAATCCCGGCGCTGCGTGTGGGAGCGGCGGGATCAGGGAATTAGCGCTGTAACTTCGGATTAGTAACGCTCGCTAAATGAGGGCCTAATTCCGACCCTTCATGCTTTTCAGCGTCGCGCCGGGTCCTGGGAGGCCTCCTGGCCCCGCTGCTGCTTCGTGCTCCGTTCCCATTTCCCGGGAGGTCCGACTGCGGTCGGTCGGGCGAGAACTCCTGGACCAGCCTCGAGCCGGCCTCTGGCCTCGCAGCAGCCTGCGTTTCGGTGATGCCTGCTGATGCCAGCTTTTCATTGGCCGGGCTGAGGCCCATAGGAGGCCGGTGTGGTTCAGGGCTGAAATTCCGTGGACCAGGAAGGAAGAAGTCCTCGAAGCCTCACCATCAACAAGGGCTGCCCGCAACCCTGCCCTACCAAGTGGCCTCCGTGCGACCTTCTGCGAAAGGTTCCGTGTTTCTAGTTGTAAAATGAAAGGGGTTGACGTCTTTGAGATCCCAACCAATTCTGGCTTCCGACTGTGCTTTCAGCCGCACTTCCAGGGCCCACGAGCCTTTTCTTTAGAAAGAGACTAGTTAGTGGAAATTGGAACAGTGTAGCCCAAACTTGGGCAGTCAGACCAGAGGAGACCTGGAGAACAAATGGAAAGGGGGGTGGGTGGGTGGGAAGCAAAGGCTGAGGAGGCCTCAGGCCTTGCTGGCTCCTCCAGGCCTAAACTAGCTAGGGAGGTTGATAAGGAACATAATTTTGAGCCTGTGTCTTGGGCTCCAAGTGCCCAGGGTGGGATTTGAATATCTCTCTGTTAGGATGAAATGGATAGGCTGGCACCCCGGAAAGCCTCTTCTGATGGGTGTGAGATAAACTCGGTGATTTAGAATCAGTATGCCCATTCCATCAACTACCACCACTACCTCCCTGGAAAGCCCTCATCCTTTCCCTAAAGCTCGAGGTTTGTATCAGCAGATTTTTCCTCCTCCTTCATAGAAAGCAAGCGGGGGGGGGGGGGGGGTCCTGCACTTCCTCAGGCTCAGACTCAACCTCCTTCGGATTCCTAATGGGGGTTCAGGCCTGCCCCCGACAGCAAGGGAACCGGTGTTTAAAAGCAGCACACATTTGAACTGCACAGACACAGCTGTGAAGCTATGAAGCCATCCTGGCTTTAGAAGGGCCGGTTCTTCCAAAATAGCAAAGGAGTCGGGGTGGTGGGAGAGAAGGATCTAGGCCGTGGGGCAGGGTCCATGGAAACCCCAGCCCAGCTGTGAGATGTGGAGGCAGGGAGTGCTGGGCAAGCAGGCTGAGAGAACTGCTCTGCTTTCCTCTGAAATGAGGTCACCATCAGCACACAGGCTCCCAAGTGCCCTAGGAAGGGAGGGCAGGCCCAGGAGATGCTGGGGGTGGTGGTGTTCCTGGGTCCCCAAACATGTGAGCGACCCTTCTTTACAGGCCAAGAAAAGCAGTCTGGACTTTCAAAATAGGGAGGAATCACAACAGGATCATGGAAATCTTCCTTCTACACAATGATCGTCTCTGAGGAGGAGGCAACCAGAGACAGTTGCTTTCCTGCCTCTGCCTGCCTGCTCTTAATTTTGTCAATAGCTAAAATTCAAAGAGCAATGCAGTGAAGAGTCTCCATCTACCTCAGCCACACCTTGCCCCTTCCCAGAGCCAAGGGGTTTCCCTATTGTACCACTTGAATTTTGTAAAAAAAAACAAAACAAAAAAAAAAAACACATGCAATCTTTGTTGTTGTTAAAATAATTTTTGCTAAGCAAAGGAAAAAAAAACGGTTTGTAGGCGCGAAGGTGGAAAAAGATTTCTATTCTTACAAGGGGGCTGGGCAGGTTTCGGGGGAGAGGCTGAGAAACCAATATTATAAATAACTGAGGCGGAGGCTCTTGGGATTGAATTGGGCCAAGATGGAAGTGAGGGGATCTAGGTAAGGCCCACCTCTGCACTTCTGAGCTGAGTGACCCTGGAAGAGTCAGTCAGTCCCCCACCCCACCCCCAGATCTGCTTCCTTATTTGTCCAAGGAAATGAAAACGGGTCAAGTCAGAATGGTGGCTCCAGTCCCTCCCAGCCAATCTGTTAAAGCACTCATACGCTGCTGATATTCCCGCAAAGCACCGCAAGCCTCCAAGGAATGTGAACTGACTGACTTTGGATCCTTTCTTCTCTACAGCTCCACAGGGTCCTCAGCTGGGTCTACATTCACGGGGATGGGGGGGGGGGAGGGCGGAAGGAGCCCCAATGGTTTTCCAAGTTGCAAGGGCCCCAAACTTCACAAAGGAAAGGGGGGTGAAGGGAGTATCAGGGAGGAGAATGACCTGGAGGCAGATTAACCTCAGAGGGGGACCTTCCGCGCTACGTGGGCCTAAGAACCTCCTGCGCGGAGCAGCGGCACGCCCCACTCGCTGCGCCCAGCTAAGAGGGACCTGGAGCTTGAGTGGCCGGTGTGCAGCATTAGGTTGCCATGGGAACGGAATTCAGATTTTTCCCCCAATTGCTTTTTTATTTGCTAGACATTGTAATACATCTTATGCTGCCACTTATTAGGGGCGGGAGGGAGAGGAGCTCCGGAGGCCCCGGCTGCCCCTTAACCAGTTGGGGAAGTTGGGGAGGCGGCGGCTCAAGTCGTCCGACCAGGGCCGACGCAGAGGCTGGGTCTCTCCCGCCCACCAGCCTAGCCCGCTCTTGGTTTGTATGCAGGGCAGGGCCGGCCGGTCGGTCGGGGCGGGAGGCCCCCGCCTAGGCCCCTTGCCATTGAGCACGCTCCCCGCCAGTTCTGCTCCGCTTCACGCTGCACACAGACCCCCCAACTGCACACAAAGGCAGCTGCCAGAGCCGGTGAAAAGTGATCAAATTATCAAGAACTTGACCTCACCGAGGGGCGAAGCTCCAGCAACCCCCCAGCCGTATGCTAATGGCGCTCAGGGGCTGACTCGTCGAATAATTCGATAAAGGCCGCATTGTTAGCGGCAGGGCAGCCCCCTGCCCACCCCTTTACTCCCCCCACCCCACCGCCTACCGCTTCTCTCTCTCTCTCTCTCTCTCTCTCCCTCTCTCTCCCTCTCTCCCTCTCTCTCCTCTCTCTTCTCTCCTCTCTCCTCTCCCCCCTCCCTCTTTCTCATCGCATTTGCATCCCAAAATCCCCGTCCGCAGCTCCGGGCGCGGATTGTTCTAGCCTGATTTATGGGGTGAAGGCAAAGGCTGGCGCCTTCCCCGCCAGCGACCCCTCCGCAACCCCAGCCCGCTCCCTGCCCCCAGCCCACTCCACTTTGGGGTTCCAGCCTCGGCGCTGGGGAATGGGGGTAGGGGGCAGGGAACCAGGAGGAGGGGAAGGGAGTGCCTCCAGGACACGGCGGGTGTCCCCGGGAGAGCCGAGGTCGGATACCTGGTCCGGGCGCGGCCGCTCCATCGAGTTGGAGTCCCCTGGGTGGCGTGGGCTTCTCTGGACTCCTCTGGCTCCTGTGGCCAGGGCGGCCGGGCGGGCGATCGCACGCAGAAGTTGTGAGAGTCATTTCTACTTTCGGTTATCTAGCTTTATGACGGCTCTGTGGCACTCATACAGCTAGATAACCAAAGAGAGAAACGGGCCTCCCTTCGCCGGCACCGCTGCCGCGCTGTGGGCCCCACGTGCCGCTGCCGACCCGGCGCGGGGGCCTGAGCGGGCGCCTCTCCCGCAGCCTCGGGCGGACGCGGAGAGCCAGAGGGGACCGACAGACACACAGACACACGGACTCCCGCTACCCGGGTCGCCCAGCTCCCGTCCTCCCTCGCCCTCGCGGCATCTCCACCCCCAGTTCCCCGTCCAGTGCGTCCGCGGCCCGCTTCGACGGCAACCCGGGGCGCACTCGGGGCACCGGTGCGCTGCGCTTGGGCAGCCTCGGGCGCCCCGGCGGCCCCCAGCGCACTGGACCGTCAGCCCTCCTCTCCCAGGCTAATCGCCCCGCGGGGAAGTGACGTCAGTCCGGGAACTGGCCTATCACGGGCTCCCATTCAAATCCCAGCCCCCTTCCCGCGCTCGGCACCACCCAGCCTTACAATGGCCTCGGCGTTCACGGCTTCTGCGCCGCGAGGACAGGGGAGCGCCCCTTCTGCCCTCAGAAGCGTTAGGCCTGCTTCCCTGGATGCACACACTCTGGCCTTTCTCCCTGGCCTCTCTGACCTCCCCCCAAAGTCTTGGGTGCCCGGCAGCCACCGCAGACCACCAGAGTTAGAGTTTGAGGGAAGGGGTTTAAGGTCGTGGTCTCGCTGGGGCAACCAAGTGAGCGCTTGAGAGACCGCGAACCGCTCACTTTATCTTTAATCTCTCTCTTTCTTTCCCCTTGCCCAAGCACTGTGCAGACTACGCGGTAAAGACTGGGAATTAAGGGAGGGATTGAGTGTCCTCCTGTGTCTAGATCAGTAAGTGTATCCCATACACAGGCGCCTGACTTGTAGGGATTCCCGCGGCATGCTACACTCAAACCAGGTTCTAGATATCAGGCTGCTGGGTCCCTTCCCTCTGGTTATTCCTAGGCACAGCCAATGATATGCAATCGGTTGTGCCCTGGTGCCTTGAAGATATCCAAGGCCGGAATTGGGCTCCTATTCATCTCCCACAGGGGGGAAAAAAAAAAGCATCTCCTGCCATCTTTCTGCTCACAGCACACAACTGGCCTACTCACTCCAAGTGGCTTCACAGGGCAAAAGGATTGACATCTTGGGTTTCCCAGAGCCACCGTGGAACTGAGCCTGGCCACTGAACTGATGACCCCATTTCAGCCTCCCAAATATGAGTGGGTCATAGGTGCTCACTTGAAATCACTCCCTTCCTCCTTGTGCCCTGTGCTTACCCTCCCACTCTGGGGCCTCTGATTCCCCTAGGTCATCCATCCCTGGGAGGCCAAGGATTGAATATGAAAAATTCGATATATTTGTGCCCAGATGTTCCTCGAAAGATCTGAAATCTAAGAGCTAGGGAGAGAGTCAACAATAGAGTAGGCTTGCAGATTCCAGGATTCCATCAGTGGCTATGCAGGAGGCCCAGAGACTCCCGCCCTAAGGTATTCCAGGGACCACTACCGACTTAGGTGGGGTACTCATTCAGACCTGTTTCAGTGGGGCTGAAAATCCCTGGACACTCTCCATCAGCCAATCCCTGCAGGGTGGGTTCAAAGAATAGGCCCAAAGTGGAAGGGGGTTCAGGATTTTTCTAAACACATCTAAAGCATTCTCCCTTAAAATGACACGTCTGGATTTTTGTCAAGTACCAGCTTTTGTCATGCACCTCTTTACACTGCTGCTTGTTTTGGACTTGTCCCATTTTCATCCTGACCCAAAACCCAAGGTGGGCTGTATTCTCACTATCACCCCCCGCCCCCCCGTCAGCCTGTGACCAGGCCAGCTAGCAGCACCTCTCTCCAAATTCCACCCCACAGACACATCCTTCTCTCCAGAAAAGGGCCACAAGCCAGACCTAGATGAGAGCATCAGAGAAACAGAGAGAGAGCACTCCGCCGACCTACGGACCTACCAACCTCAAGGTTCTCGAAGGAACCTCAAATTTGGGCCTGTGTGGTTAACTCTAAAGGATTTTCACAATTAGGAGGTGCCCCTTTCTCCTCCCCCTACAGCTTCTGGAATCCACACCCTTCCCCATCTAGCTGTGTGTCTGTCAGTGTGGGCGGCCTCCTGAGCTCTAGTCCTTCTGGGGCACCCTGAGCTGGGCTGGGTGGAACCGCAGAGGCAGAGTGAGGGGTACAAGCAGGATTCACCTGAGAGTGGGATTGGGGGAAGAGAGAGGGGGAGTCGGGAGCAGGAGAAAGAGGAGAGAGAGAGAAAGAAGAAGAAGGAGCATTCTCAGAGTGCGATTAAAAGCAGGGTACCACACAAAATGGCTCCTCAGTCAGGCTCACGGTAACAGCACTGGAGCCCTGGCCTGCAAGCCTAGGGCGGGTGAGCGCTCTGAGAGAAAGATTAAAAAGCTGGATTTTGCATTCAGTTCAGGTGCAGCGGGTCAATGCCACCAAAGCCACATTTCTGCTGTCTTGTTTTGTTTTTAGGAAATCAAGCCCCTTGCCAGAGCAGGTGAGGCCAGCCAGGCAGAAGGTCCCACACCACGCTGGAATAAGACCTGTCCTGGAATGGAGGGAGACTCCTTCCTTCCTACCCTCCAGTGCCCAGGGGCATGAAGGCATTACAGGCTCATTCTAGGTGCATTCTCAGGAAGGAGACCACAGAAAGAGTAGGCCTTGAGCCATCGGCTGCCTGCCATCTGGGGGCTGTTCTGATGGGGCAGGGCAATGGGTAGTCTCCTCGGGCCGTCCACCAGTAGCCACACCCATGTACAGCATGGGAAGCCTCCAGGTCAGCACCCAGCAAGGACACATTGTTCGGAGCAGAGACTAGGCAAGGAAGACCCCACTGACCTCGGCCCTGATTGTCTCCTCATCTGCACTCTGGACTGAGTCTGAGTTCCCTGGCCTCTAGCCTACTGTCCCAGCACAGTCCCTACGTCCTGAGAAGAGCAGGCAGTGGATTTACGGGTGGCTCAGCCAGAAAACTGGAGGCTGCTGATGGGCCCTGGCCATGGTGCTGAGGGCTGCCCACCTGGCATTTTTTTTCCCCCCTCGCAATTCCACTTGCCCAGAATTTCCTCATTCAGCTGTGGTTGGAAACCTGAGCCTTAGGGGTGCCCTACAGCTACTTAAGAGAAGCAAACATCCGGGGAAGCCCAGCCCCCAGACATCTCACCAAAGGTGAGACTCCATCGTTCATCCTCAGAGCTCCACAGAGGGACAAAAGTCCTTAACTGATCCCCATATCTGAATCTGCAGAAACTACACATCTGCTCTAGAGGCCCTTGACTCAGGAAACCCACACCACACCTTCTCCTCAGGCTGCCCCTAAGGTCGGTGTGTTACTTGTGGGGACCCTCTGTATGCCAGGGCTCCCACACCTGCAGGCTAACACCGGCTACCTGAACTCCACTTGCCTCTGGCCCATGTTTCTGTTTCCCATCGGTAGTGGCAGTTGTAGTTATTCAGCTCCAGAAAGGACACAGGCTGGCACCTTTCGCTCAGGACACAATGAGTTCAGGGGTCCGGAGGAGGCTGGGGACGACTCACAGCCTCACTCACACCCTTGTCCTGTGACCAGACTTGCCCCGATTCTGAGGCCGGGAGCCTGAGGCTGAGAGAGCACAGCAGATGCAGCCACTTGGCCTGCCATTCAGCCTGGAATGAGCACTCCTTTTGATCCCCTCTGGGCTGTAATTAGGACACAGCATCTCCAGCCACAACCCAGGCCAATTCCAGGTGCCTTTCCCTATGGCTGCCTTTCTCTCTCATTCCTTCCTCAGGCCCAAGCTCTGATGAGGCTGATCTTCCCTATTGTCTGGAGGCTGGAAGGGCCGTTCACTGGGAGATCCAGCTTTGGGCTCCCTCAGATGGAGCCAGGTCCTTGTTACCCAGAGGGTACAGAGGCCTCCACACCTGCCCTCAAATACACAGGGCCAGTTGGGCTGTAGCTGCCTCTCTGGCTTCCAACCCAGCCTATTTCCTCAGCAGCTGAGGTGTAGGCAGGTGGGGTGTGGGCTCTTCTAAACAGGGACCTCAAAACACCCCTCTCAAAAAGCCAAGCCTTTCCTTGGGACCTCTAGCAGCCAGTATTGCTGCGGGAGATTCCTGAGGTGCACCCCAGCTCGCGGTGTCCATTTAGCCTGCCTGCCTGGCCTCCCTTAACTGAAAGCCAGACCCTCAAACTCCATTTCCCCCACCCCGCCGCCAAGGCTAAAGAATCTATCAGCTCCCGAATATGAAGATTCAAAGAGGGTCTCCCCTTCAAGCTCAGCACCCTCCCCTCCTCCCTCGCCCCCCCCACAATGGCACGGAGCTTGTGTTCTTTTGGATGTTTTTACTGCTCCAGAGAGCTGGCCTGGACCTCCCTTGCTGGAGTCGGCTACCTCCTGGCTGTGCTGAGGTCAACTGCACCACCCCATCACCCAAGCGTCTCCCATAAAAGCCCCTCGACAGTCTCAGCCTCCACGCTTCCCTCATTCTTCACAGCTCAAAGGAGACCAGGCTGGAGGAGGCTTGAGAGACACCCACAGACAGATCCAAAGGCCTGTCCGAAAGCATAGAGTGGGGTGCCCAACAGAAGGGCTTCCCCAACTTCCCATTTCAGAAGGGGAAAAGGACGTCATAAATCTTGTTTAGAGTGGGAGCTGGGTGTTGCATTTTCTCAAAAAAAAATTTTTTTTTCTTCCAGGAAGCCACTTTGTAGGTTATTTGTGTGTGTTGGTGGGGGCTGAGGGGTAGGAAAGAAGAGGGGAGTCACGCGTAGGAGTTAGGGAGGGGTACTCCCTGCAACCTCTTTCAGAAACACTCTCTTTCTCTCAAACCTTTCTACCTGCCCACAACTTCCCTCGGACCCCTCACCCTGTCCCTTTCTGAACACCGTGGGCGTGTCTCACTGTCCCAAGACCCTTGACCTTGGTCTTGACCATTTGCGGGAGATGTCTGAGCCCTGACCCACAATCAGAGCGCAACCCCCATCCCTCCAGTAGTCAAGGAAAGCCCCGAGCCCGGTGAGATACCCAAGAGGGACCCACAGGGATACCCCAGGCCCCTTACCCAGTGCAGCCATCTCCCTGACCGCGGTTCTAGTGGAAGACTACCGCCCTGGCGCCCTAGCCCCTCTTTCTTGGCCTGGCCGAGACGCAAAAGGCAGTGGAACTTACGGACCCGGGAGGGGGCCGGGACCCCACGAGGCGACGGCGGGGGTGGGGCGGTTGCGGTGACGGTGGTTCGGTCGCCCAGGATCAGGCGAGTCCCCAGGCTCCGGCCCAGCTCCGGCCGCCTTCCCAGGAGCCGCTGCCCGCACGGTGGCGTGGCCGAGAGCTGCTAGAGGCCGGCGCGGCGGCGGTGGCGCGGGGGCTCCTGGCGGCGCGCCGCTTCTCCGGGCTCTGAGCGGCTCAGCGCCGCCTTCTCGGGCGGGCACGGCCCGCAGTGACGTCAGCGCGGCTCCCCCCCCCCCCCCTGGCTTCACCCGGACCAGTGCGGAACGGAGAGGCGGAGGCAGGAGGCGAGGGGCGCCCTGCCCTGAGACCCGGCCCTGCCAGCCCGCGCCCCAGCTTGCGTCCGAGCAACCCTCCCCGCAAACGGCCCCGCACCGCCGGGCTCACCCAGAGCCACCAACCACCTGGGAAGTGGTGACAAACCCAGGGCAGGAAATCTCGCTGGCAGCTCCAAGCTGCCGGATCCAGGATGCTCGGGGAAGAATGGAGAGCCCAGGGCTTGAGGGGCATCTGCGTTCTGGGCTCAAAGTGGGGGCTTTTGATCTTTTCGCGCACACACAAGTCATGGCTGAGGGGACCCAGGAGGGACTGGCCGGTCCTGAGGTCCCTGTGTGGGCTCGGAAGGGACCTTTTAGCTCCCAGGAACGTGTCTCGTTGACAGCCTGGGTTGTGTGCTAGGCTGGAGCGTGCTCCTCGGAGACCCAGTGCCTCCCCCACCCCGCCTCACCCGTAGGCGGTGCACCTGCAAACTCGTTGGGCTGCAGACCGCCCCCGAGCCGCTGTCCAAATGCTGAATCCGGCCTCCCCGGGGCGGGCTCCCGAGCCCGGCTGCACCGCGCTAGCGAGGCATTGTCCGCAGGGCGGGCACAGGGTTCTGGGACTCAGAGACAGAGCCCCTGGAAATTCTAGTGCTCTGAGATGATGTTGGGAAGCTACAAGGAAGGGGGCGAGAGGTCAAGAGGAGGCGGGAACAGAGAGGGCAGGCAGACCCGAGTGCCTGACCTGCGGAACCACCTCTTCCTCTTGCGCCCCGGTGGCTCGCTCAGGGTCCCTTCTGCCAGTGTGTGCTTCTCTCGCCACCCCAGCAG